TTATCACTTTCAGTATGATCGGGTAGGGGACTCTGCAGAATGTTGTGTTCAGCGTCCTGATGAGTAGGTTAAGCTCCGACGAAACAGTCTGTCAAAGCCGCTCGATTACTGTCCTCTTCTCCCTCTTCTCCCTCTTCTCCCTCTTCTCCTTCTCTTCCTACCCTTTTACCTGTCACTTCTGTTTGACGGTACTTTTGCGCACTACTGTTGCTTAGCAAAATTGTTACAGAGAACTGTCCGGTGAACGGTAGAGGGGTAAACGGAGAAAACGACAAGAGACGAGATGGGGGTTGCGACAGATTTTCGTGGGAACTTTCATCGAGTCGTCATTCTTTTTTTTTTGTGTGTGTGTGTGGGGGGGGGAATCATTCATTTGTGTATAAATAGTATGTTTGTTTGTGTACACAGCCACGAATGTTTGTCTGCGAGCTTATCAGCGTCAAGGTTATACTGTATCTCAATTTCTTACAATTGCTTATCAGCTTGACGCTGTTGAAAATGAGTTGTGGTATGACCATAATGGTCTACCTCCTGAGGACAGTAATTATACTACCTCAGGAGGCTTTACTATAAATGTCTTACAGTTAGCGTTTCACGGTCGCCACCTTGTCATGCATTATGGGACGCCAGGCGAGAACCTTGATGCCCGTCCTCATATTCTTGCATGCATTTTGCACAAACCCGGGCACTATATGGCCCTCTTTCGTGCAGCTGCCCAGTGGGAACTGTGGGATGGTGGGACGGTGATTCAGGTTATTGTCAGCGTCTCTCGTGCGACATTTGTCGGGATAGAGACGTGGTGCGTCTTGGTTGTGGAGTGCATTATCTGTGTCAGCACCATTATCAATCCACTGCGACTGCCGCCGTATGTGCGGAAGGGTGTCTACCATTTCCTCATTGTGCACATCCCTATCACCCAGATGTACGTTGTCCTTTCTGTTCCCAAGGATGCTATCAGAACTGCATGATGCCGCACTGTGACGAACGTCCTGCTGTTTTCTTGACATGTGGGCAACATGTCCTATGTCGGGATTGTTTCGATGGGATGGTTCGTGCTAGCCGTCCGGCTGAATGCTGCACTAACGCAACTCTCCTTGGGTAACCCTGTGAACATCCCCGTCATCCTCACCGTAGTTGTCCTATCTGCCGAGGGGGTGAGAGATGAAGTGTAGAAGAAACAGATAAAAAAAAAAACCGAGTTAAAAAAAAAAAAAAAAAAAAAAAAAAAGAAACCGAGGAAAGAAAAACACAAAAAAAGAAACCTGAGAAAAAAGAAAACAGAAAAATATGCTCTGTGGGATGGTAATTGGATTATCTGTGGGATGTGTACTTGCTTCGTCTGTTTAATAGGGTTTCTTCTTCTGTGAGGTTTGGTTTCCTCCGCCTTTTCTTTACCTCTTTGCCTTTTGGCTGCGTGTAAGTGGGTCTTTATGACACACGGGGATGGGGGCAGCCAGCGCTCAACCTGTCATCCACGTGGCTGGCCTTGTACGTAAGAGGTTATGAACAGGTGGAGCTTTCCTTACCTCTTCTTCTCCCCCTTTTTTCTTTTCTCTTCTTTTCTTCTTCCTTTTTTTCGCTTCTGCGCTCTGATTCACAGTGTGACAATATATGACATAGTTGTTTTAATCATCTTATTTCTGTTTACCTGTTCATCCCGGCTTTTCGCGCGATGCCGTTTTCGGTATTACATTTCTCCCTTCCCCCTGCCCTTTTTTTCCCTCCTTACAGTGGGGCCATGCTAATCTTCTCTCAATTGTCCCAATTTTAACGGATGTCACGAAGGACGCCATTTATAAATTACATTCTTGAATCATCGTCGGACGAAAATAAAAATAAAGTCATTGGAGTAAGAAATTAAGAAAAATAAAAATCATTGGACTAAATCTGTCACTTCTTTCTTCATCGGCTCATCCATTAGACTGGAAGGGTGCCTTTTTTCCCCCCCCCCCCTAATTATGGGATCATTTCAAATATACAGAGAGAAGATCCGCATTGAGCAAAAAATTCGTGTCATCCCTATCGCGCAGGGTTCAGTGATCTTTTTATCTTCCGGATGGACTCCCAGTGTGACCCCGCGCGATAGTGATGACACGCATGTAAAGCGCAAAATTCGTCCGTTCGGTTTTCGAAGGGCATGCTCACACTGGGCGTTTTTTTGTTTTACATACTGTTTACTTACTGTATTTATGGTCGTAATTGCGGTCAGATGCATCCAGGTCCGGTCGTAAATGCGGTCAGATACATTTACGTGTAGTCCTACGGGGTAGTTTGAGTGCCTCGTAAAGCAAATTCAAATCGTCTTTTTCTCTTTTGGGTGTGTTTGTGTTCGCACCTCGTGAGTTGTCGTTTCCAAATGTGTCATGGAAACTCCTGCTGTTTTTTTTTTTTTGTTTTGTTTTTTTTTGCACACGTTCGCAATTTTATGTCTGGACATATTTAGAGCCCCCCTCTCATGTCTCATGCAGAACGAATTTTTTTTTTTTTTTTTTTTTTTTTACGCGTCTGTCCCCTCTCTCTCTCTCTCTGTCTCCTGCATTTCTCCCAATGGAGGGAGGGAGAAGGAGAAGGACGATTACGATGATGATTGCCGTTCCCCTCTCCGTTTGACTGTAGCTCGTAATGACGGTCAACGTGCCTTTGGAATTTTAAATGGTTTTTCCAAGGATTAAAAAAGAGAAAAAAGAGGGAAAAAACAAATCTCAACCGCGAGAATAGGTTCGAAATCAGCTCTTTCAAAAGGGGGGGGGGGGGGGGAATGCCCTTTCCCTTTGCCCCGGGAGAGCTGTCTGGAATTATGAGGAGTAACTTCGATTTTGTAAGAAAAAATTATTTTCTCTTTTGACTTTCCAGGTCCTTAAAAAAAAAAAAAAACATTACAATGTCCACGGAGATCATACTTATTTATTAGGGATGATTGTCTAGGTCCTTAAAAAAAAAACAAAAAAAAAAACATTATAATGTCCATGGTGATCACAACGTATGTTGCGACCGATATTTATTAATCTTTGAACGATTTTTTTGGGCAGAGAAAACGGGAGAAAGTCACAAAAAGAACAAGTAACAGAGACCTCATGCCCAGAAATCACGGAAATCTTTTTTTTTTTATCACGGAAAAATAAAAAATCACGAAAAATAATTAAAATAACGGAGCAGTGCTTCCCAGCCATCAGATCACACAATGATCGTCCTTCATATTTTTGTCACTCCGGAAGAGAAGAAGGTCACAAGTGATCGATCCTATGGCAGAGGTCGCAACAACAGTGAAAAAGTTGATTGCCACCTTGTTATTTTTTTTTCCTGAATGAGAAAAAAAGTCTTCTGTTATCCCTGAACACGGTGCCCTCCATACACTCCGTGATTTGAGGAGGACAGATGAGATTATTAAAAGTAGGAAAATTACAGAAAATATTCTATTCCTTCGGGGTGATGCCCAACCCCGAAAGATAAATGCCACCCCCTTTTTTTTCCCTGAATGAGAGAAAAAGAGGCTTCTGTTGGCGGTGATCATGGCACCCCCCATACACTCCGTGATTTAAGGAGTGCTTCAACAAATGAGATTATTAAAAGTAGGAAAATTACAGAAAATCTTCTATCCATTCGGGGTTATGCCCAACCCCAACTCTCGTCGTCGGGGTTGGGCATCCATCCTCCCATGGGATAGAGCAAATGAGATTATTAAAATTTGAAAGTAGGAAAATTACAGAAAATCTTCTATCCATTCGGGGTTACGCCCAACCCCAACTCCCGTCGTCGGGGTTGGGCATCCATCCTCCCATGGGATAGAGTAAATGAGATTATTAAAAGTAGGAAAATTACAGAAAATCTTCTATCCCTTCGGGGTTACGCCCAACCCCAACTCTCGTCGTCGGGGTTGGGCATCCATCCTCCAATGGGATAGAGCAAAATTTGGCGTCAAGCTCCCTTTGCACCGGCATGCTCGGTGTCAAGGAGAGGAGGAGGGGAAGAAAGATCTCATTCCTTTGTGCAAAATGAGAACGAATCTTCCCGTATATTTTCTCCATGTGGAGACGAGTGGAGCGAGGCCCCTTACTCTTTTTTCTCTTTTTCACCAAAGAGACAGAAGACTTGTACAGTACTGCAGAGTGAAAACGTTTTTTTTTTGTTTTTTGTTTTATGTGATTGCAGAGTGGAAACTGGGGGTCACTGATACGATTTTTTTCTCTTCTCTTCCTCTTCTTTATTATTTTTTAAAAAGGGGCAAGAGGGCCTTGCAATATCATAAAGAACCGACCGAAGCCCCGTGATTCAGAATGATCTTGGTCTCCTCGTCTGATTGGATCTGGATTCGAACTGGGGTTCTGGATTTGAACTGGGGTCTGTATTCCAACAGTCCATGTTGCACCGAGTGGTCCGTTGGTCCGTCGTCGGTCCGTTGGACGATACCAGGTTTTCGTTCGGAAGCGATCCACGAAATTGACGAAGAGGGAAATAAGAGACTAACGGGGTATAGAAATCTGTAGAGACTTGAGAGTGATAATTCTTTTCCCTTTTTTTTGTTGAGAGAGCACTTCTTTTTTTTTTTGAGAGAGAGAGCCTGTGCGATTCCATGTCATCCATTCCCGTGTTTACGAAATTTTCTGTGTCCCCTCCTCTCCCTGCTTTTCTCCCTTCTCCCCCCCCCCTTACCTTTTTCTCCCTCGTTTCGTCCCCCCTCCCCTCTGGAGCTTGAGAACAAGAGAAGAAGATGTTCGGCCCCACCTACCTCATCAACTGGGTCATTCCATTTGTGTTCCCGTCTCTCTCTCTCTCTCTCTCGGCCTCTCGGCTTGTGCCTCCTGGGAGCAAGGAGAAAAAGCGAGGAAAGTGGAAAGCTACCTAGTTTGTCATATTGTGGTCTACTGTGAGAAACGGCCTTTGCGTTTTATGCTTTTTCGATTCATTTTGTCTTCTTTTTCGCTGTCGACCAGTATATGATGGTGTTAATGCCATGTCTGTTTTTTTTTTTCCCCATTCCCCATCTCGTATTATGCCTACAGCTGCAGGGACCGGCTTATCCTCCTGCGGCACTTCAACATTATCAACACCTCCAAGCCCAACATCGCCAACAGCTTCAAGTCTTTTGGAATCAGCAGATGGCAGAGATCGAGCAAGCGAACGGTATGATGTGTTGTTGTTGTCGCTTGCTTGCTTGATCTGTTCTGTGGGTATGAACAGTCCTCTCATCTCCTCCTTCCTCCTCCTCCTCCTCCTCCTCCTCCTCTCTCTCGCTTTTGCTTAGATGAAATCGTTCAATTTCGTGACTACTGTCGTCACCCGAACAGAACGCCCGGATGCAGCGATAATGACGGGGCGTTCGATTCGTGTGACGATCGCAGGATGGTTATTCATCAATGACTTTACATGTGTGTTCTGAATTCGTTCGAACTTGGAAGTTTCAGAATCATTTATAGGTCAAATCTGCGCTTGAACCTGGGTTCGAACTTCAAATTTCGGAATCGTCTATAGGTCAGTCAAGGTGCGTATTCCGAAACAGTTCATCGGTGTAGCAATGGAGGGATATAGGCTCAACTGAGCCTTCTCGTTTTCTGTGGAAACGTCAACGGGCGTAAGGCATTAACATCATTGTAACTTAACTGGCGACAATTATTTCGGAGTCCTTTTGTTTGTCGGATTCCAGCAGGATTCGAACTCAGGTTTTTGCTTATCAGGAGTGCATGCATGGGTCTGTGCCATTCAGCTACATGGGCTGGGGTGCGCGGGTTCTCCTTGTTGTTCTTTTTTTCTCTCACCTCCGATTTTTCATGCGCTTTGGGGTTTTTCACCTCTTGTGGAGGGGTGTTCGCCAGCAGACCTGACGTCTTGCGTGAGGAATACAACATACGGCGAGTTGCCCGCCTGAAGTACACAGCTACAATGACTGTGCTTTCTATTTGAGGAAAAGAAAGACAGTAGCGCCGCCCTCTTCCCCCCAGACACAACGTTCCCGCATCATCATGAATGTATTGAAGCTATCTTTCCAGTTTGATGCAGTCATGATGAGGGCGAGTTCTGTTATGGTGAACACGGCAGGTGGGTGGGACCACCTCTACCTTCCACCTCGGACATGCCAGGTAGGGCCAAACTTACAGAGGTGGGGGTAACACAAACAAATGGAGGAGCGGAAGTGGAAAATGCGCAGTGAGCATGCGGTTCGTCCCAAAAAGGAAAACAGGATTTGGAATCCGTGGATGTAATAAAGCAATAATAAAAGGAGATGCAGTCGGCGCGCGTGGCGGAATGGCATGCAGCACAAGTGTTGAGAAAACGGGGGTTAGCATGAGTTCGAACCCTCGTGCGATCGGATGAGTATGAGTGATAATTTTTGGGCCTCTCATCTTGAACCATCACTGTTTCCCAGTGCTTTGGTTCCGAGTGCATGAGTTCGAACCCTTGATGGAATTGGATCAGTATGACAATGTCTGGGGCTTTCACCTTGAACCACCACTTCACTTCGTTTCCCAGCTCATGAGTTCGAACCTTGACGATGGATTTTGTTACCAGTGGGACTTCGTCAACGGGTTCCAAAAAGACATGGCTGGCGACACCGGCCAAAAAATGAAAAATCCACTGTGCACCAGTCCTTGTTCGCGCTCAGCGTAAGTTTTGACTGAGCATAAGATTCACCTTCCGAAGGTTGTATGTATGATGGCGGCAGAGCCAAGACAGACCGGTGTTCTATTGTGACACAGAACCCCTCGGCGAACAAAGAACGGGGGGTGCTATAGTATGTGAAATACTACCTTGGTGAAACACTGACGCGGCGGGGGTAGTAGGCGTTAACCCCCTTCTTTTTTTCTTATTGGAACTAGAGTTCTGCTTGACAGGGAAGAGTAACCGGACTGTTGCCCCCCAGAACTGTTGCTCCCCAGAATAGAAGGGGCCTCTGTTTGTTTGTTTGGGGGGGGGGGGGGGGGG